TATATATAAAATATATATTTTATTTTTTAATAATTGAAATTACATCATTGTAAACAGGGTGATTACTAAGCACTCTAAAAGATTTAAGGGGTGATTCCTCATACAAATTCAGAGCAAAAACTTCACATGACCATATGTCCGAAAAGGCTTAGTTTCAAAAATACAGGATATTAGGTTTCAGCTAATCTTCGGGTCGTTTATAGAATTGTAAAAAAAATTTCCAAAAATTATAAAGTTAAAGGAAAAATTTCATCATGTCTTTAAAACTAAGCCGTTTTGAACATATAGTCGTATGAAAAGAGAGTAAACATTTTCAAGGGTATTGCTCGGGGATTTTATTTCTATATTTTCTTATTTATTTTTTTTCATAGAAACCAAAAATAATCATTATAATGATGCCAGACTTAAGGAAAAATTGGTACATCGAAATAAAATGAATGACAGTAATTTTATAACATAATGTGAATAAGGATTTTATTCATTTTATTTCGATGTACCAATTTTTCTTGAAGTCTAGCATTATTATAAGCACGATTATTTTTGGTTTCTATGTAGAAACATAAGAAAACATAGAAATAAAATGACCCTTGAATAGTAGTGAAATCTTCGAAAATTTCTACTCTCTTTTAAATTATATAGTATAAGAAATCACCCCTTAAATCTTTTAAAGTACTTAGTAATCACCTTGTATAATGGATTTGAAGAATGATTATATATTGAAGAATGATAATATTTATGATAACATATTTAGGCTTTACTAGATCTGACAAATATACTTGACAATATTGTGTTACAGGAATAGCAGTGCATACAATGCACGGTTGCAAAATGATCGGAATGCCGGAGTGTGATGTTCTCTTGGCACAATGTACGACATATTTAGCAAGAGCACCAAAATCCAGATTAATGGAAGACGCACTTAGAGCTGCTCAAAAAGTAATAGCTGAGCATAAGGGTCCACAACCAGGAGTGCCTTTGCATTTAAGAAATGCCCCCACAAGACTCATGAAAGATTTGGGTAATTATTTTATTTTTCGTATCAATTTGCTCTTGATAAATCAAATAATTATTTTAGGATATGGTAAGGGATATAATATGATGAACAAGGATGAATCTGGATTAAGTTACCTGCCAGAGGGATTGGAAGATTTAGATTTCTTTGGAGATGATGACGACGATAATTAGAAATGCTATGGTAAATGCTTCAATATAGATATATTTGTTTTTGTATTGTATTATTTTTTATTATAAAAAGGTATTTTTATTATATTTTATAAGTTTTATAAAATCTTAGATCTCTCAGGGATTAAAATTTAAACTTAAACGTAAATTTAAGCACATACGTATATGTATATATAAAATATTTTTACTTAGTTATTTTTAATAATTATATGCGTATGTATACAAGATGTATATACAGGATGTATATAATATTGTAGCAATATTAAATATATTTGTAATAATCGCGCGCTTATGCGATAAAAAAAGTGATGCTTTAACTTTATAGAATAAAAATAAACTTATACATATATATTTAAGCTTACAATTAGCGATAATTTGTTGTTTAATTATATGACAAACCTGATGAGTTTCGATTCATTACTTATGAATCGAATGAGCACATTTTTTCCAAATTATTGTTTTATTATTAGCGGGCATATCTACGATTTCTATTAATCTAATATTATTCTCTTCAGCTAATTTTTTCAAAACTGTTACATCCCGCAAACCCCAACTTGGATCCTGCAATTTCAAGGACTCGTTGAAATCTACATTACTTTGCGGAGTGATTTGACCATCAAAAGCATACGGTCCGTAGGTGATTAGTAACCCATTTGGTTTCAGCAATTGATTCGCATTGTTAAATAAACCAATAGTACACTGATACGGCGAAATATGTATCATGTTCGCATTATATATATATTCTAAACTGTTCGGTTTGAAGATACCGTTATCCCATGACCGGTAGTCAGTGGTGATGTCAATTCTAATGGGGCTTTTTATATTAGAGTATCCATTCGCGTACGCAGCGATGCTATCCAGAAGTTTTGGGTCATATTCCGAAGGGTAAAATGTAACTTGTGGAAAATGCGGCGCAAAATGTGCCACGTGTTGTCCCGTACCGGAGGATATCTCCAGGAGAGTCTGATTTGTACCAGGTTGGATATATCGTTTTAAAACTGATAATATTGGATCCTTATTACGGTCTGCCGCAGGATAAATGAGTTTTTTGGCAGCCATAGTGTGTGACCTTGAAGAAATTTCAGTTTCACTTTCTACAGAAAGTTTGTAGATGTGTGTTATTAATAAGATTATCTGCTGTTATATCGCAAATCGTGACATGTATAGGTTTCGTAAAATTTATTAAAATATATCATATTATTTTTTTATCTTGTGTATATCATACTACTTTATATCCTGATTATTTTATCTGAAAACTTAACTAACTTATACCACTTTGAAATTAAACAGCTCAAATAAGATGTAAAGGCTCGTTATTTTTAAATGTGCATCTCACCTGTGATTAACAGCGTAATGAATGATATTCATTTATATGTATTCTGCTTATAGTCGTGGCATCTATAGCAAGAGATTGTACAGCCTGAAAAACGCAAATATTTCTTTGTACTATTATATACAATATTTTTATTTTCTTAGGAAATAATCTAATATGCATAAATCCTAATCATTGAAACTTTTGATTGGGAAATAATTATCCAATGGATTAGGAAAAACAGTCAATTAGGTATTTATATTTCATTAAACTTAAAATATAGAATGAAAAAATAAATAACATGTTGATATGATAAAGAATGAAAACAATATTAATTTAATGATAAATGACACTGATATATTTATTAATGGATATTTATAATATACAACCCCAATTAATGAAACTAATTACATTGTATATTTACGATATATAATTTTCATTCTTACAGCTTGTCGAAACACATTTACATTTAATTGCTAATCATCTGATCTGATAATATCTGAATTGATAATATTGTCTTAAAGAAATTGGAGGTGTCATTACTAACTAAACTAAAAGTATTTTAATAGGTCTTATTACAAGATATGTACACAAAAACGTAATTCCTATATAGAATCCTGAGGGGATGTGTATCACATATATAAGACATCTTTCATGTCAATTATAACAAATTAAACTGTTATTATTTAATTATGATAATAATTTGACATTTCTTAATAAGTTGGATTCAACGTTTTTTCTTATCTGAGTCATCTTTTTCTTTAGATGTTGCTTTTTTCTTCTTTTCTTGGCTCTTTTTATTTTTCGATAATTCTGGTATATATACGGAGTGTCCAGTTTTCTTTAAATGCTCAAATAGTTTATTTTTGCTTGGAAACTCGGATGAGCAAGAAACACAGCGATGAGCTAATTCATCCATATTCACGATCGGATCCTTTTTATTTTTGCCCCTGTTCTCTCGTTCCTCTTTTTTAGAATTTTTCTTTGCTTTGTCGGTTTTCAGTCTTTCGCTAATAACACTTGCTTCTTCCATCACTTTACTTTCTGTTTCCTCTGTTTCTTGTTCCTCTTCTTTACGCGTCTCTTCCTTTCGCAACTGTTTATTTATTTCCACTTTTCTCTGTTGTAACTTTTTTCGTTGTTTTTTCGACAGCCATATTTCCTCCTTAATGCTCTCCGTATCGTCATCACTAGCAAGTTCAAGCATAAGATTAGGATTCTGAATATTACGTTTTCTCTTCTTCTTTTTTTTGTGACGATTCGACAATGCGCCGTCTTCGTCTTGATCAGACATTAATTCGTCCTCGGATGTTATGTCATCATCTTCATTTTCCACTTTAGATAAAAATGATGTACTTTCGCCCATTTCTGGTGCTGCAGCCAATAGAACATCTCCATAGTTGTTTATCTTCTTTTTGTCGACTGTCGAGTGAGCACATCCTGGATTTTCCTCATCATCCGACATCAGTTCGGCAGGAGAGATATTACTATTATCCTCGTCATCGTTTTGTCTTGAGTCCTTCTCACTACGAGGAAAGTTTAATAAGAAATCGGGCATCTGTGAATCTGTTGCCAACTTGGGTTCATTTAGTGAAACTGATTCTTCTTTTGTACTCGAATCGCTTTCCCGAGAACTATCTTCGTCCTCGACCTCGTTCGGTATAACGTACTTGAGTGCGCTGACATTTTCTTTATGTTTTTTTGAATTCTCATGATTCGTAAAAGCCTTGTGCGTTTGGAACACTTTATCACAGGCGATACAGTAAAACGCTTCTGGATCGCTATTTCTTGTTGTTACTTTCCTGTCATCTGTTCCAAATTCTGCTGTCAGATTCGCCTCAATGTTCTTCAGCTCTGCTTCCATGTTCGAGAACTTAGACCATTCAGATTCGATCTGATCCCGCAATAGTTTCTGCCTCTCCAACAGATGTGCCTTCCTTCGCTCCTCTGCCTTGCGAAAGTTCTCACGAGCGCGTTCGGCCAGCTTCGCCGCGTATGCTTGTACTCGCTTGTCGCGTTTGCGGACGAAAGCGACCAAATTCCGCACCTGCTCGTTCCTCTCACGCCTCGCCTTATCGCGCACTTTCTTGTTCTCTTTCTCGGCGATTCTGAGAATGCGTCGATTCCGCATTTCACGTATATCGTACGGATCCAGCCAAGCATAGGATCGCTTGGTGCTATAACTCTGCCAGTAGGCGTAGAAATCGCCTACCACATCTTCGTATGAACTCTGGGAGTCGCCGAAGCTAGGAACCTCTTCGTCAGACTCACTGTCTTTGACAAACTCGGCGTCCTCTGCTGCTAATTGCTCAAAAACATTTCTGTAGGTGGTATAGAAACCCTTCTCATCGTCTCCATAACCTTTGAAGCATGAGAGAGAGAAATATGGGAAAAGATTAATGGAGTCATCCTTGTAATCCTCTCCGATACCACCCTTCAAGATAGCCTCTCGATGATTGTCGTACCAAGCACGTTCGTGGGGGTCGCTCAATATCTCCCATGCCTGCTGGACAAGTTGGAACTGTTCTTTAGCTTCATCTGGGCTTTCGAGATTCTTGTCTGGATGCCATTTCAATGCTAATTTCCTGTATGCTTTTTTTATTTCATCATCAGGGGCATCTCTTGTAATTCCTAATATTTCGTAGTGGCACTTCATTGTGTTGTCCTGTGTATGATATACATCTGGACACAATTTCTTTACTTAAATCACAAATTGTGGGCTAAAAAAATTTAAATTATTAAATTATGAAATAGCTTCTTTATATAACTCAACAGCTAATTTGATTAGAAATGATTTACGAGCGCACATTCACTTTGTTATACAAATATATAAATGGATAAAACAAGATGTGAAAGTATGAAGGTAAAGATATATATATTATTAGGAAACCTCATTATGTTATAAATGCAAATAGAATACAATTTAATTTAATTCTTCAAATTCCCTACATAATACAATTTTCTGAAGGATGACTTTAGAACATAGAACATCCTCTATATATTTTTAAAACATCCCTTATTGAACTATGTTACAAATTTTAGCAGATTTTCAGATATTGATTTTTTATTCACTTTAAAATCCACTTTTAAAATTTTATCAATAAAATTCATGTTATTTATAATATAATTCATGTTCTGTCTTCTGAAATATAAATACCTTAAAATACCTCCAATTTCCAATTCTAATCTTAATCGCTTCCGTCTTCCTTCTCAAGTATCGAAGATGATATAATCAACGACATAATCATTATGTTATAAAATACGGATAATGAATAATGATTCAAGATTCAATTTGGCAAATCGGGAAAAATGACGAGGTGACGATCTCGTAAATTATTTCGCAACAAGATTACGCATTTCGATAATTGTTTAGAATTCCTTACCTCCGATTTTGATAAAATTAGGCTCATTCGACGTGTTTGTGTATGAAATGAAAAAATTTGGCCGAAAAAATTACGACACTGTCCTGCGAAGCGAGATATTAATGAATAAAGTTGACAGACTATTTAGGTTAACAAGTCTGTCAGCCATGAAAAAACTTCTCTGTTCTCGCTATGTATGAAAAGTTATAAACTCATGTGGAAAGTGGAATCATTTGTGGGTTTCCAACTTGGCACGCAAAACGAGATTTAATTTTATAAAATTGACTTTAGTTTTATGGAAGGGTGGAGGCAGGAACTCTTTGCACATATACATGTACATATTTGTGATTGGAACATTGTAGAACGTTCTTCTCTTCCTGCTCCCCTCCAAGGCGCGGCCTGACTAATCAATTTTAATTATTAATATTTCACTTCGTGGTCGCATTTTTTCGATCAAATTCCTTTATTTCATACAGAAACGTGTCAAATAAGCCTAATTTTATCAAAAAATCAGAGATGAAAAGGGGGAGGAGGGAATTCTAAACAATTACCAGCATTTCCTTTTCGCTTTACTATTTTAAAAAAAAATTTGCATATACAAAATATCGTATCAATAGCGATTATGGTTTTTCTCATCCATTCCAATTACTGACCAATTATTGTTGGTTATCGGTAGAAAAGAGCTGGAGCTTACCAAAAAAGATTTTGGACACCTGTGATATGTAATCGACGTAAGGTAATCAAAATTACAATTACTAAAGATGACGACGGTGTGATAATAATAACTATATATTTATTATTATTATTGTTATTATTATTAAAGCCGTCTACACAACAAGACATAAAGGCGCGGCGCAACTATATATATATATATAAGCAACTATATATATATACTGAACTATGGCTACCTTCCATTTAACATTCACAATGCTTCTGAAAGCATTCCATCCTTGTCGTTTGTCAAATGTTAAACAAGGACAAATGATGCTTGCGATCATTAGGAGCGTTAAGTGGAACGCAGCTCATATATAAACTAAAATGAACATTTCCGCTGTGAAACGTAGAAAATCGTGGCAATAATTGATCAGTGCCATTTTAATTTGATCAATATAAGAATATAATCAGAAGCTTTCAGGTGCTCATACGCACTTATGTTTAGAGTACGATCATCAATACGATGCTACAAATGCTTTAAAACAATTTTTGATTGGTAAATTTGTAAAATTCTTTTTTCTAATTGGTCAATCAAAGCATTTGTAGTGAGACTTTGATCGCAAACTTATGCCCATATTCATAGTCAGACTTTAAGGCTTTCTTAAATTTATCTTTAGATGCTCAGCAGCCAATGAAATAATTCGTACAGTATCTGAAGATAAATTTAAGGAAGCCTTAAATATAAGGCCTTATGGAATGGATTATGAATACGGGCATAATACTTGTATTCATAGTCACACAGGCCTTATATTTAAGAGATACTGTATGAATTATTTCATTGGCTACTGAGCATCTAAAAATAAATTTAAGGAAGCTTTAAAAAGATCTGACTATGAATACGGGAGAATAAGACAGGACATTACGTCCCAAAACCTATAACCGTAAAATGCTGCCGCGCACTACTGCCCTCTGACAAAATGGATGTAAACTACATGGCAATGTTCACTTTCTTAGGATACATTGTTCACGATACTGGCACTGACAGCATCGCAGCCAATTTTACCGGTGGCAAGATTCTAATCCAGCTAGCAATCCAGCAGGAAAATAAGCATTGTATGCCGCAGACTTAAGCGAAAGTAAAGTAGGAAACATAATAAAAAACACAGGCAATACCAACAGGAAATAACAAATTTCAATCTATCAGAAACCATATATATTAGAATGGACGCTTTCTGAGAGGTTGAAATCTCTTATTTTCTAATATAATACAATAATTTAGGGCTCGATAAGATTTGCGCTTCTCGGTCGATTTTCGACTTAGTTCCGCCTTCCGCTATTCCCCTCACCTTTCACTTCACGCGCAGTCCAAATGCTGCTCGACATTTAGGAGTGTATGACGTTCGTAGACATGAAATCCACCTGCTTTAGATGCTCACGCTGTAAACTTCATTTTATATCTTTTTTTTGTTTCATTACATAACTAAAGCTACATACTGACGCTCGATTCGAGCGTCAAAACAGGTCACGTGATTAAAATTGAATACCAAGCATCAATTTTGATTTGTTTGACGCTGAAAATAAGCGTCGAACGTCAATATAAAAAAGTAGCTTTTTCTCTTGGGATACACTCAGTGTAATCTCGCACTACACCAGTTGCGTGTAAGTGCTGCATCAATGCTGCACTACAAAAGTGTACATACACCATGGTGTACACTACTTCATGCTATCGTGTTTAATTCTGCTGCCGATTGACTTTCATTTTCAAATTTTTAATGTCACACTGGCTTTACATCGTTTCTTTGAGTGTAGTAAAACTCCACTTCGTGCGTAAAATTTCATCATCACTACACTAGCCACGGAAACACGTTACACTGAGTGTTGCACTGATGGGCGATAGTGCAGCTAAAAGAAAACTACAAGATAGAATAAAGCAATGCATAATGGCTTCTGCACACTGAACGGAAACGCTTGTTTCGCGACGAAATGTGATGCGGTAGCCAATAAACTTAAAGCTCCTAATGTGTTCATTGATTACTGTGTCTCATTTTGCCAGAAGCCATATGCCAATCAGAAGCACAAGCTCACTGAGCGGTCATGTTTCTGAATGCATCCATTGTGCTTCCAGCTGTAGATATCGTCTGCACTGTGTTTTCGCCAGTTTAATTGACGTTAGCAGTATAGTAGTATTATATATATGGTTAAATTTTATTAAATAGTACCGGTTCGTGAATTCCGGGATAAGAAGCGATTAATCGTCATCGGAAATAAACTTCGCGGAAGGAGGATGCTGTTGAGCAAAGTAACGCTATTGTTTCGTGGAAGGACTGTTCTTAGGAAGACAAAGACGATATCAAAGCCATTTCTTCGATCGACGATCACTACGCCGTCCGGGGCGATCCTACCCGAACCGAAGAGAACACCGTTCAGCTTCCTGGGTGTCGTCAGCAGTGTGATATTCGGCTTGTTAGTCGGTGCCACGATCAGTAAAAATATTGCTAACTTCCTGGAAGAGAATGATCTTTTCGTTCCCTCTGACGACGACGATGACGATGACGACGACTAGCGACCAGCTAATTTCATTCCATTGTGATTGTTCAAAATACTCAGATGATTAGATGTTGTTCTTGATGCTCTTGAAGGTAATTTTTCATATATTCGTAGTATAATTTATAATAATCATATGTGCAAAAGCATAAAAACATTATTATTCGATACTTTAATTTTTAAATGTACATATATACATATATACATAGAAAAAAATATAAACATATGTGTGTTTTATTTTAATTGCTCCAGGCAAATATCTCAGAAACTAAGAGAGATATAAGAAAAAGTTTTATATGAAAGTTGTAGGTTTTTTCGAAGAAAGAAGATGAAAATAACAGATTTTTGAGGCATTACCAAGATCAGGTCAAGATATGAATTTTTTAAATGGAACCCTCCATTTTTATTGCATATTCTTGTAGCACACCTCGAGAGTTTTCCAAAACACTATAACAAAATGTTTTTTTATAAGAGACTTTTCGAGTTATAAGACTTGAAATTTATAGTACTGCCGGCACTAGCAAGGTGCCCAACCGACGACTAAAATCTCTTAAATGTTGTTCAGGATCATGTCCTAGGTAACATTTGTTAAGATCAAAGTCAATTGGAGATTGTTTCTCTTATTTTCATTAAAAATTCATTTTATATAAAAATATATATTTATATATGATATAAAACATTTTGCTTAAAATATTATTGAAAAAAATGTTTAAAAAAATTAATGTTTTATATATATAT